CTTTACTCAAAATAACACATTTATATTTTAATAGAGAGTAGAAAAAAATAAATCTATTACTGTAAGTGCAGTAATGTCCAATGCTTTGAGACTTCAGTCTTTTGGATTTGACCCTACATATTTTGCAAATATTTTCTTTTGACTCTGTGGGGGAGTTCAACAAGAGCTTTCAAATGACGTGTGATGCACATATTTTAGAATGTCACTTATTCCCCTTTCGCACTAATCCGTCATGTTTGTTGTGCAATGGTTTGTCGTTCTCTGACAAAAACATAATGCATCAAAATCTGATATATCTATCTGACTACAGGGCATTACACCCAAGCTTCTGTTCTTATGCAATCTGCAATCACAATGAGCACAGATGGCTACTCTCTAAACTGAAGCAATTTCACCTCTTTCCACTGCATAACAACACATACCACAAAACACCTCTGATGCAACACAAAAAGTAGACTTTATCATCCTAAATGTATGTATATAATGCACAAACTTGATTCATATGGACAAATCCTGATATAACTCAGAGGAGATAGGTCATTATAATTACACAGTGCTCCTACTGGACATTATCATTCAAGTGCATCTTTACACTGAAGGACACAGCAAACCCAGTTTGGCTCTGACACCATGGTACAATTTGTAGCTTTGTGTGTGTGTGTGTGATGGCGACACAATCCAGCTTTTTTATTTGAAGGGAAAAAAGGGAACAGGTGCACTTAGTATTGCAGAGTGAGTTTTTAAGGTTTATCAACAGTAGCCTACATTAACATTGAAATAACTGTGCATAAGTGCATCTGAATTTGTCTCTCTCTCTCTCTCTCTCTCTCTGTGTAACCATGAGAACTATTTCATCATAAGTTGCAGTGGACAGTAAAAGATGCAAATAGGCTCAATAAAATATCTGTTATTTTTAAAATCTAATATCGATGATTCAGTATGTAGCCTCTCAATAAAACGTTGCAGTAAATGGCGAGTGGATTTATCTATAACCATAACCTAACCATAAGGTTAAGTGTTCCTAATAGTTATAAATGAGGGCCGGCCCGTTACTTTTGTTTATTGGCATGCTTTCTTTAGGTCCCCTCACTGATTCCAGTAATATAACATGTCGATCTCACCGCGCTGCAAAATGAGATTAGACTCTGACATAGGCCCAGCATCATCCGCCGACGAGCCCGCATCATGAACTCTTCACCCGGGCACGGCACGGCGGCGAGACTACATTACGGAGGGGGAATATCCAAGCAGGCAGGGAGGAAGGCTGTCGGCGGCTGCGCGCTCCCTGGATCTCCAGGCGCGCGCTTCTGTTCCTGCAAGAATTATTCATTCAAGTCTGCCATCTACCGACTGGAAACGCAATGACATCATCAAAGTCTGTTTTCCAATACGTAGTCAAAATACTTCAGCAATCTTCAAGCAATCAAACTCAGTAGCGGATTGACGAAGAATCTATAATACTAAATACAGTAATATTATTGCAGCATAATATAAAAAATAGTGTATAGCCTATAGTTTATGAATTGTCTCTTGATTTTCATAATATTCCTGTTGGTATTTGGAGTCCTCTGGTGTCATTTTGAAACTATTCCTTTAAAAGTTAATGTAGATGTATCATGTTTGTTTACATTGCAGCATTTAGAGACTGTCCTGTATCTGTAACAGATACGTGTCTCCTGGAGGAGGCCCGGATGAGAGCTACACCTAAAATATGTGCAAGTGAGCTGTGGATCAGATTTAAATTCTGTTCACTGAAAGTGAAACTGTTTATTGTTTCAATATCTGAACAATAGGATGTGATATAATAATTTCTAGATCGATAGATTTTACTAGGCCTCTACATTCAGTAAAATACCCTACAACATATACACATGTATACAGTACTTGTACAGGGAACAGAAGGAGCTGCAGGAGTAGGAGAAACAGAGGGCTATTTTATTGGACTGGTTTTATTGCTCTCACTCAGGACTCATATCCTGAGTTTAACAGGGCTAAAGGCAAAAGGTTTTAAGTGTATGATGTGTGTGTGTGTGTGTGTGTGCGTGTGTGTGCGTGTGTGTGTGTGTGTGTGTGTGTGTGTGAGAGAGAGAGAGAGAGACAGAGAAGAAAGCAGAGAAGGTGGGGGTTACTGCCTATTACTGTGGGTTGCACATGTAGGCCAAGGCCATGTTATGTTGGACAGAGTTGAACACACTAATGTTGGCCAAAGACAAAGAGTCTTTACGATAGTTACGATACATTTTGTGGCAGTATTTCACCTTCTATTGAAAAAATATATCAACAAAAATATATCAACACTAATTTCCCTCTCTTAATGCTGCATAAAGCAGTTTCTAACTATGAATCAATGAAGTAGATTTCAGAGGGAATACATAACCAGGGAGGAACTAACCAGCATCTCGTAATGTAAGCTGTCATCACCCTTCTCATTCTGCTCAAAAAAATGTTTGACATGAGCTTTTTCACCAGTTCCAACATCACAATATTTACAGATCGTGTTAATAGTATGAGGGATAGTGTTTCCCAGATGGCCAGAGATGCATCTCTGCCCTGAATCATTTTACAGTTTGTTTATAACACCAGCAAACAAAAAACTCATCCCTGTTATTCAATCCATCTGAGAATAGACACAATCACTTTGAAGATGGAGTGACACAAAATCACTGCATTGTTTCCTCCTGACATCACTGTGCTGTAATGAATGTAAGCAGGGAATGTGCTCTGAGCCCTGAGTAAACATGAGCTTCAGCTTTAATGCTCTTTCTCGTTGACATTCCATTTGAATGGCTTTCACTCTTTATGGTTTTGATTACATAAAGGAGTTTGAGTAGGCCAATCCTTTGCCTATATTTTCTCTGAATATTGCTGCTCCATGAGGTCAGAGTTCACACAGAAAATACCTTTGCCCGGAGCTTGGTGGGGAGGTAGGCTTGTAAATCATTACAGACAACAAGTCTGTTTTATCATGTGTAAATGTAAATGCTCCGTAATTTGTATAGCGCCTTTCTAGTCTTTTTGACCACTCAAAGCGCTTTTACACTACATCTGCATTCACCACACACATTCATACACTGGCAGAACAGCCACCAGGGGCAACTCGGGGTTCAGCATTCTTGCCCAAGGACACTTCGACATGCAACCTCCAACCTTCCGATTAACAGCCAACCCGCTCTACCTCCTGAGCCACAGCCGCCCTGTGTGTGACCATAAAACTAAGTGAACAGCATAAAATATTTTAAATGATGTTGGTTTTGATAGACGCATGCTGCTAATCCCTGTTTACAGAGGCGCCTTCCTCTCCTTGCAAGAATTACTGTCCAAGGACTGTTTACATCCAGAGTAAACTTTGCTGTCCCTAAACCCTTATAACTGCGGTTTGATTAATATCAGCACATTGTAGTCATCTATGAAGTGAAGCTGAATTATGTATAATTTCTTTCACGTTCATTTTATGAAGCGCTCATAAGCTTTCTACCTGATTGATATGCATACAATAATGTAGGTATTTCATCACACATTAACATATCAACTATAATTAGGCTCTAACCCAGATAGATTTACAATGTGCAACATTCATATAAGATGAGGTTCCCATGTAATCACCATTACAGGCAACCAGTAAAGGAGATTATGGTGGTGATTATTGTGACCATTGTTATAAATGAAGTACTGTTTTCTTCTGTCTTCCTTTTCTTCTTCTTCTCACTATTAATGTATAAGTATAAGTAGCCTACTGACAGAAAGTACACAGTGCTTCACAATAGGCCCTTTTCACAGCAGCCATCTTGATTGGTCAGAGATGGAAAAGCACAGGTGCTGATAATAATATTAACGATGGCTCCGTTGTATTCAGGTGTTCCTGTAAGCCATGACAGTGTGATTGAGAGCCAGCTTGCAAAATACCAGGACCCTGAAACTAAAGCTGCTACATGGAATTAAGCCCATCCTTCATTTTCTGTGGTTTCTGTGATTTTCCCACTGTGACATGTCAAAATGTCTTCAGTGAAAAAGGCGTACTATATCGAGACAGATAGAAGACCAAGGACAGCTTAATAAAACAGAAGGAACATTAAAAACCTATAAAAATGATCAAATTAATAATAATAATAATAAAGATATAGCATGTCCTAAGAAGATATAGGCCTAGATGGAAATTAATTTAATTTAATTTCTTAGTTAGACATAACAAAAACGCGAGAGACAACTGTCCAATAATAACTACAATATAGTCAAAGGGATGAGATGAAACGTATTTTTCAGCTTTGCCAAAGCGGATGATGTACCGCACATTGACCTGTAGATGGCAGTAGAAGACAAACAGTGGCTGCCTCACTCATCCACCTGCAAGGTGGCGCTTTGTTGTCATGAAGTTCCTGCTACGCATTTATTGTGCCTTAATGTCACATTTTGGTTCTCAAAGCCTCAACACAGGGACCCGGAGATCAACATTTAGAAAGGTTCCTCACTAAATTAACACTGTAATGTTTTGATAGCCTAAATAAACCTGTGATTAGGTCTATTTTATTAGGGATGCATCAGTGATTTCCCATATACCTCATCATCATCATCAACAACAACAACAACAACAACAACAACAACAACAACAACAACAACAACAACAACAACCTACACAAAATACTGACATAAGACCCTCTCAAAAGTGCTCTACTCGAACAAAGACAATTTCAAAAGCGTTTACTTGGACTAAATGTACCTCGTTGGTTGATGATGAAATTACTTGGGCCTTCTTGTATATCAATTCATCTCTGCCTCGCTTTGTATTTCAAATTGATTCTATCTAATTCTATTACAAGCTGCTAAACCTGCATCCGTGATCATCTACATATAAAACTATAATTGACAATCTTCTTGGCTGTCGTCATATTAGGGCGGGTTAAATGCAACGTGGAGGCGCGCTTCGGGCAGACAATAATTAATATGAACTGTTTACGGCGTCGACTGGGCCACGTTGGTTAATGGTGTTGTTTATTGTGTTGCAGGAGCCCCGCGCTTCCGGTGCATCAATCCTCGTGTCAGTGCCTGGGTCCCGGTGTCGCGAGGAGTGATGGCCGTGCGGTGATTATAACGGAATAAAAAGACGTAATGAAGTGCTTTCCGCCCCGTTATTCTCGTGTGCCCGGCTGCTGTCAGACACCTCCACGCTGCCTTGGTGCTCCACTCCTCAACCTCTCCATCTCTCCATCCCATCACTGTGTGCCACAGCCCAGCTTGTTTTCTGCTTATTTAATTTTTCTTTCATATAAAGTTCTTATGAAGTTGAATCGTTTAAAATGCTAATAGCTTGACACAGCCGTGTGTGTGTGGATGTGGCATTTACATTAACGCCCTCATTGTGGTTTCTGTTAATATTAACATGTCTTTATTTGCCATGTGTGCACAAAGCTGTGTAGCCTTTGTGACTTTTGTGCACGAGAGAGAGAGAGAGAGAGAGAGAGAGAGAGAGAGAGAGAATAATGGAACAGGTTGGTGGTGATTAATTGAAGAAATAGAGAGTTGATTGTAGTAATTAAACAAAACAAGGTAAAGCAAACGACTGGGCTGCCATCTGGGCCCGCAGGCTGAGAGCACATGCATTTACCCACTGCCAAGCACACCATTTATTTACCCATATAAAGATGCTAGGGGACCGTCTGTGGCTCACTGTGCCTGTGTGTGTGTGCGTGTGCGTGTGTGTGTGCGTGTGTGTGTGTGCTTGTGTGCGTGTGAGCATTTTTGTAAGCAAGAAAGAGGATTTTATTCATCATGTGGCAATGTGCGTGCGTGCACGCATAAACTAATGTTTTGTTTTTAAAAAGGGAATGACTTGGTCTCTCCAATGGCAACGCCGGATATGTATGTGTGTGTGTGTGTGTGTGTGTGTGTGTGTGCAAAAGTGTTTGTCTGTGCTGTGTGTTTATATCCTATTTGCATCTGTGATGGTAGAGACATTCATCCAGTGTCACTCTGCTGATCATCTTTGCTGCTTTGGTGGATAAACACCACAATCAAGAGATGCTGCGATAGAGATGTGCAGAGAGGCATAACAGAGACATGGATGGCACCACATTAATTAACACACACATATTCAAATAAACCATATACACACATGCGCGGAGCCATTTAAATTCAAATGCAAATGCTTTTACGCAGACGCACACAAAACCATGCAGACATAATCACGCACACTCCTGGACTGTGTGTTATTTTTGAAGTCAGTCAACCATCAGCTAAATCTGGTCTCTTCATTTTGCCGGGTGCTTCAGAGAGAAAGCTGTGAGAGGTGGTGTGCGCATATGAAATTGCTTACATTATATGCTGCAATGTTTTTCCAATGGACTGGAACATATTAAGCTGAAAATGAATAGCAGGTCTTCTCGACACCATGTTGAGCGGTAGCTAAGCCTTCACTTCCCCTTCTCCGAGTGTTCCATCATAATGACAGCTGTCACTTTTATAGCGCGTGTACGCGTCTGCTTGTGTGCATAATACTGTGTTTGTACCATATGTTTGAATTTATCTGCATGCATGTGTGCATTTATCTGAGTGTGTGCGCCTGCTACTGTATAGCTGTGTGCAGTGGCCTTCCGTGGCAGGTCATGTGTTCAGACAAAGGATCACATCTGCCTGACTCCCGCTGGAAGGCAACCTATACACATCTATTTGTTTTAGCGCCAGTCGCACAAAGCAGGAAGATGTTCAAATGATGTGCATGCAGATGATTATCATAAATATGACATATTTTATATAGCCTACACCAGCAGGTATAAAGTGTATGCGTCCGAGCATATGCATATGTTGGGGTGTGTGCGTGTGTTTGAGTACGTTTGTGATCTCTTTGTGTTCACATATGGATATTTATGCCTGCGTGTGCATGCTTGCATGTATATGGATGCATGTGTGTGTATATGTGTGTGTGTTTGTCAGACGGTGGCTCATTGGTATGCTGAGTGTCTTCGGTTCCCCTGTGGTGCTGGGTGGGATAGGAAGCATCTGTCACCTCTGCAGAGATCCAGCATTCTGCCGACTTAACCCTTAAAGCGCCGCATCACCTGAGGGCTGCTATCTGAGAGAGAGAGAGAAAGAGAGAGAGAGAGAGAGAGAGAGAGATTTCTATTGGCAGAGCCACCCATATGGGCGGGTGTCATGTCAGGATTTTGGCTTGATTGATATATTCAAAGGAGGAGCAAATGCAGACAGACATGGCCTATCACGACAGGAGGCGGAGCCTGGTTGCTGCAGCAACCCAACACCTTTATTAGAGGTCCAACAAAATTGCTGACATATTGCTCTCTCTCTTTCTCTCTTCCACTCTTACTTTTCTCCCCCTAGATCCATAATTCCCTTTCTCACTATGTATTTTTGACCCCCCCCCCCTCTCCTTCACACACTGTGTGTTTTGATCTATCCTGTAGTTTTGTGTGAGGGTTGGTTGACACAAAGCGACTACCAAGTCATTACTCACGGTTCAAAGTGTTGGGGCCAGTGATGTTTTGTTGGAGGGTGATGGTGGTGTAACAAAAGGAAGGGCTGGAGAAAAACAGGTAGCATTCGAGACATGTAAAAAAGAATTAAGCGCGTGACAAGATGAAAGAAATGTTTCTGATGTCGCATTTGGATGTCATATGTCATGTCAGGAAAAGCAGGGGTAATTTAATAACATTAACAATTGCTGCATTCCATTTACCTGAGTCAGTTGCAATGTCCTGGTTTTGTGCATGCTACTATCGTTAGCCTGTCTTATTAATCACACCTCTGCTACACCTGCTGAATGCCCCGTCACACCAGAAAAGCAATTCCCAAAGTATTTTGTTTTAGAAGCTTGATGATGCGATGCTAGTAGTAACTAGCTGGCAAGCTAACTAATTATACACTTTCCAATGGGACATTCTAAAGCTAACAATCCTTTTTATTTTCACTGCGCTGTGATGTTTCCTCCCCCTAGGCATTTTGTTCTCAGGATTATACATACATTTATTCAGTAAAGAGTTTTACTGGAGAGGGAAAAAGCTCTCCAAGATAACAAGTTTGCTAACTGCTTCATTTACTAACAAGAACAAAGTTCACAGTTTAGTTAAAAGATGTATTCATTGACTCCTGTGTCATAACTGAGAACCATCCCTCTCTTGTGGAACAGTTTATACTCTGACAGAGGAGGCGTAAATAAAAGTGGATGGTGGAACATAGCTGATAAGCAATAGCCTCCCCATTTTGGGCTCTTTGTTCCCTCAAATGTTGACACTGTCAAGATGACTTGCTATTGATGGTGTGAATTTGTGTGCCGCCACAAGCAAATCCACTGATTGCAACTATTCCACTCAAATTAATTAATTTGTCCATAAAATATTGTCATTTTAAATGAATCGTTTGACCAGGCCTTAAGACAAGTCATAATTTCTCCTATGAAAATGCTTTATTGTGAACACTTTTAACCTCAGAGGTGTTACAAGTTTTCTGAGTCTTTGTGCAGTAACACACTTGGACACATGTCAACATAGCTTATATACCTATGGAATATTTTAAAATACAAACAGAGGAAACATATCAGTGCGTACCTTCCTTCATGCAAATCTGTGCGTGTGTGTGTGTGTGTGTGTGTGTGTGAGAGAGAGAAAGTATGTCCTCCGGGTGTCATTGAGTTCTGGTATAAATCAGCTGGGTGTGCGAGCATCGGCCTGCAGTAAATTAGCCAGGTTTTAATTGTGTCTGTAATAGATGACTATAATTAGTCAAGGCTCTTCCTCAGCCTCTACTGCCCTGACATAATCTTCTTCTAACCAAACTACACATCCCTTTGTCTCTCCATCCTTCATCCCTCTGTAGCCTGGAGGGACAGGAGTGATCTTCTGCTCCTCCTCCCAGGGTCCCCCTCTCTGACAGCTTCTCAGAGAAACCCACCAGAGAAAGGCAGTCTCCTTTTTTGTCTCTCTGAAGTCTTCTCTCCTTTATTCTGCATGTCTCATCAGGAAATTCTATTGCCTAGGTTTCAAAGAAAGTTTCAACTTCAAGTCAGCAGGGTCTGTCAATAGCTTGTTGTTGTAATCAGAGTAAGTTTAAATATAAGAGGTTAAATGATCATGAGCACAGTCAGCCTTGGGGTAGATACAATGGTTTTGGTGACAATAGATGTGTTTGACAATGGCTAGGATTCTGGGATACCACAACTTCCTATTGATCCTTGTAGAGTTGATATGAACATAATTAAGCCAATCTGCAATTAGATCACTTTGCTATCCCAGAGCTACCTGATCTAATGCATTTACCTCTGGAATCCAAGCTGGGTTTTACATCGGCACTAGGTAAAACAGCTCTGCGGACAGATACATCAAATTATGTGTGTTGATGTAGTTCAACCATAAAGACACCTGTATTTTTTTAACACAATCCCCCCACCCATGATACTGACCTCTTGATCTTCAGATTCTATAAATGAATGAAAAATAACTAACTTTCTGAAACAGACAGTCCAACAAGTATCTATTTCATATTTTATACAAGCATTCACCAGCCTTTAGTAAGGTATTGGGCCACCACGAGCCACTAAAACAGCATCAACGCTCCTTAAATCCCACAGATCTCTGGAATTCTGCTGGATTGATAGACTGGACTCTTCCAAAATATATTCCCTCATTTGGTGTTTTGGTGAGTGTGATGGAGAGCACTGTCTGTTTCATTGGTTCCAGTTGGGTTGAGGTCCGTGACCATCAAGGTCATAACATATGATTCATATCATTGCCATTTACATCAAACCTTTCAGTTTTCATCCACATTTCAAAAACTTCCTGGTGGCTCTCTGAGCGGTTGTTTGCATGATATGCTCATGATGTTTTAAGACAAAATCCAAGACAAAACCAACCCCTCCCAGCTGATATGTAATAAATCTTTCTACATGCCTGCTTAAAATGACGTGAACTTCCAAACAACCTAAATGTCAAAAACAGTTGTTTTGAAGATGATCAGTCGTGCAGCAGAACCCGTGCACACATATACACACTTACCTGTGAACACACAGGGTTCCTGTAGAAATCACACCCGCTGCTTGATAATCTGCAACGCACCTAATCACCAACTGGTGTAAGTGACAGAGGGGTGGGACCAATGGGATCTGACATAGCTGACGGCCTGCACCTGATACAGCAGGACAAAACTGAAAAATGTTGCTGCAGGCGGATCCATGCGCTGATTAGGCTTGTGTTCGATTCCTCCGAGTGCCGATCCATCAGTGTCCACTAGCACCCCGTTTAGCTGGTACTCTGGTGTCAGTGTGGTCACATCGCTGCCGGGA